AAATGGACTATATCCCCATCTACGGGGGTAAATCGGCCAGTGGGGCCCGGGCCACGCCGCCGGGGATGGGGGTCGGCTAAACGGTGCTCGGTTCCAGACCCAGGGCGCGCCCGCGCAGTCCCCACGGCCGCCTGCTCAGCGGCAGCGCGCCAGAGCCGCGGCCGAGGGCGTCGCACCCGTGGCTCGAGGCAGGGCTTCGGAATTCGGTTTCCTCCTGCCAGGGCGCGCTCCGCGCCGCAGCTCGACGAGGAAGCGGCGCAGCTCTGAGACCAAGGCTTGGTTGCCACTTCTTCTCCTCCTCCTCCTCCTCCTCCTCCTCCTCCTCCTCCTCCTCTTCCTCCCCCTCCCCTCCCCCCCTCCTCCTCTTCCTTCCTCCTCCTCTTCCCCCCCTTCCTCCGCCTCCTCCTCCTCCTCCTCCTCCTCCTCCTCCTCCTTCCTCCCCCTCCTCCCCCTCCCTCGTCCTCCTCTCCCTCCTCCTCCTCCTCCTCCTCCTCCTCCTCCTCCCCTCCTCCTTCCTCCTCCTCTCCTCTTTCCTCCCCCACCTCTTCCTTCTCCTCCTTCTCCTCCTCCTCCTTCCCTCCTCCTCCTCCTCCTTCCTCCTCCTCCTCCTCCTCCTTCCTCCTCCTCCTCCCTTTCTCCTCCTCCTCCTCCTCCTCCTCCTCCCTCCTCCTCCTCCTCCATCTCCCCCTCCTTCCCTCTTTCCCCCTTCCACCTCCCCCATCTCCTCCTCTCCTCCTTCCTCCTCCTCCTCCTGTCCTCCTCCTCTACTCCTCTCTCCTCTCCTCCTCCTCTCCTCCTCCCTCCCCACTCCATCCTCCTCCTCTCCTATCCTCTCCTTCCTCCTCCTCCTCCTCCTCCTCCTCCTCCTCCTCCTTCCGCCCCCTCCTCCTCCTCCTCCTCTTGCCGCCCTCCTCCTCCTCCTCCTTCCTTCCTCCTCCTCCCCTCCTCCTCCTCTCCTCCTCCTTTCCTCCTCCCTCCTCCTACTCCTCCTCTTCCTTCCTTCCTTCTCCTCCTCCTCCTCCCCTCCCTCCTCCCCCTCCTTCACTCCCCCTCCTCATCCTCCTCCTCATCCCTCCTCCTCCTCCCTACTCCTCCTCTCCTCCTCCTCCCCTCCTCCTTCCTCCTCCCCTCTCCTCCCCCCCTCCCCCTCCTCTTCCTCCTCCTCCTTTCCTCCTCCCTCCTCATCCCTCCTCCTCCCCTCCTCCTCCCTTCCTCTCTCCTTCCTCCTCCTCCTCCTCCTCCTCCTCCTACTCATCTCTCCTCCTCCTCCCCTCCTCCTCCTCCTCCTCCTCCCCTCCTCCTCCTCCTCCTCCCCCCCCTCCTTCCCCCCCACGCCCACGCGACCACGGACGAAAACGGGTACGACTGGGCCGGGCCGGTGGGCCCGCACGGGAAGGTGGCAGCAACGAGCTGTCCTCGGAGGCCTTCCCGCAGCGCTGCGGGCCACTCGACGGCATCGGAGCCGCTGGCAGTGCCCACAAGGGCTCCGGCTCTGCGTCACCCTCGGGGGCGCGAAGATATCGCGCTTCGTGCGTCACAGTCTGGGCCAGAGCGGTTGTCCTTCTCAGAAGGGGGCCGCGCGGGTTTCGAGACATCAACGGAGGCTTGTGTTGTGAACGCTTCGCTCAGGATGATTACGCGTCGTCTTTTGTATGACTGTTCCTTCTTAGTGCTTTCCTTCGTCGCGCCTTCTTCCTTTCCCTCTCTCTTATTACTCTTCTTCGGTGTCAATTGTCTCCCCTCCTCCTCCTCCTTCTTCTCCTCATCCTCATCCTCCTCTTCCTCCTCCTCTTTCCCCTCCCCATTCGATGGCCACGGGTATGGCCTGGCGCATGGGTGACCAGTATTTGGGAACACCCTCGGACAAAATGCGCTGATGACGGAAACATTGAGAACACCCTCACGAGAAACATGACAGTTCCCGCTGTGGGGCGGAACCCATCGGGGTGGCAGCTTCTTCCTCCCCTCTCTCCTATTCTTCTTCGGTTTCACGTATCTCTCCTCCTCTTCCCCCTTCTTCTCCCCCTCCTCTTCCTTCTCCGTAGCCAGTTTGGCGCAAGTTCTAACCCTGAGCCTTGGTGGCTAGAGCTTGCACGCTGCCGAAAGGCTCGCCCAAACCACCTTTGGAAGCAGAGGGCCCCGCATCGCTGCCATATCGCTCCCCATGAGCAGCCCATCTGACACACACACACACACACACATGGCCCGTCTTGCCATTGAGATCGACGGTGCTGCTACCTTCCCTGATGGTGAGCTGAACTCTGCTACCCCTGTCGGCCTTCACCAGGGCCCAGGCTTTCCCGAGTCGAAATGGACGAAGACGGAAGATGGTACGCCCTTGAACATTGACGATCCCGATGCCTTTCGTGTTCCTGATGATGTCGATGATCGCCTTGCTCCTGCTGGTTGGCATGCCCCGTCCGTGCCGAAGCCAGCAGACTACCCTGATGAGTCTATCAAGCTCGTCGCTGTCAGTGCAGTCGTGGAGCAACTTGGTGAACTGCGAGCCGAGCTTTAGACAATGGTGGGTGCCACGGTCGGGGAGTCGGTCAAGTCGTCGGACCACGCTATTACCCTCTCGCCCTTCGGGCAGCAGCTGGAGGACCAGCTCAAAGAGGTCGACCGGCAGATCCTGCGGGTCGTGCGCCGGCACAACTACGCTATGCACAACGGGCTGCAGAAGCACGTTGACAAGCTCGCTCCCCCGGCTGATCAGGTGTCGGTCAAAGTTGAGCGCCATACAGCTGACATCGCGTGCCTCAGGAAGCAGACGGAGGAATTACGCAAGAAAGTTGCCGGTTCCAAAGGGTACTAAACAGCCAGCGCCCCCCCCATCCTTCGATCGCGCAGAGGATCTGACCCTGGTGGTCAGCATGGCTACCAAAATGAGTGGGCGCCCTAAGTTCAGCAGCGCGTCGTTCCCTTCCTGTCCGAGTTCGGCTTCGACTCCTCCGAGTGCTCCATCGAGGCTGCTGGCCCGTTTCCCCCCCCTCCGTTTCTTGCTCCCGTTCCCCGGTTGTGTGGGCCTGGCCTCGAGGAAGGTTGGGAACGTGATGTACAACGTACGACTGAACGATCAGCGGCGCGCCTTCGAGGCAATCTCCGCGGGGCCCACGCCTGCCAGGTTGCACTTGGGGGCCCGACAAGCGCCCCAAACAAGTCAAACTTGAGATGGCCCTGCGGAAGCTACGCTCTGCTATGGCCGAGAAATGCGAAGACAGATGGCCGGTGGACCGCGAGCGTGGGATTCTCGAACAGGGATGGGCCAATGCGGTCCGCATCTCGGCGAAGCCCAACGACGAGCATTTCGATTTTGCGTTCAACGAGAATGGTCTCCGTAAGCACCGTCTGTCACGCCAAGAGGTTAATGGCGCGGTTCAGAGTACGATTGCGCCGCCACCGCCTACTCAGCGTTCTCTTCGATTGCATTATCAAGATGCCCGCGCTTCCTCGAGGGCAAGGGGATTCATCCTCGATGCGGCTCGCTACATGGAATGCCCGCGCGCTGCTGCAATATTACACAGGGGCGAAGGCTGCCCCCCCCCAGCTGCCGTACCTTCGGCAGATCCACCTCCAGCCCATGGCGCGTGCGACGCAGGGGTTTCATGCTGATCGCATCCAGCTCGAAGATGTTGTTAGCAGAGCGTGTCCGAATGCTGTAGTTCACGCCTCGTCTTGTGCAGTGGATCAAGGGGGGGACATTGTGCAGGAGGTGTTGCTACGATACCTCCTAGATCGGCCCTCGACGGGGCCGCGCCCAGCTGCGCGTCAGTCACCATCCCAGGAAGGGCCCTACAGGTCGGTCGATGTCTGTAAGCAGGGGTTGCAGCTGACATGTTCTAGCATTCATGACCACGGTCTCACTCGGGAGCAGGTGAACACGGTCTGCGAGCAGATCGACCTGACTCGCGCGCGTGTTGCGGCGGACCCGCTGCGCTACATGGCGACCGTTCAGGGCGACCTGAACTTCGGCCCTGACAAGGCGCTCATCCTGCATCGGCTTCAGGGATCCCGAGCATCGTGCCCTCGTAATCATCGCGCTGTCGCAGCTCGCTGGCCACGCACTCTGGGGGCTCTCCTCGAGGTGGCGACGGTGGCCCTGATTCATTGCGCCAGGCGCGCGAACTCTGCGAGCTGTCGGGCAGGTTCTTCTGCTCGGTTCCTGGCTGGATGATATGCCGGGTGCATATGGAATGCATGACCACTGGTGAACTTGAGGGGTTGTCCCGCGAGTTCATCTCAGACCGCGCGGCCTTGGTCGCCACCGCCCGACAGCGCGCGGGGAAGCCGCGGGGTGAACGCCCCGCCCCCGGGCACATCTTCGCGGGCCCGCTCTTCAAGAAGCGGGCCAAAGGGATGGTGAAAGATGGCAGAGGAGCAGTGGCCACGCTTGCGGGGTCCATATACCAGGGGCGCATCAAAGAGACGCTCAAAGAAGCGGCTCGTGAGGCGCGTGCTCTTCTTCTCACGCATCGACCGACTGATGACGAGACGGCGTTGCTGGCGGCGAGCAGCTGCGCTCGCGCGGCGCGGCGACGGGGCGCCCCTCTGGCGCGCGCCTCATCGCTGCATCGGCGTGCGCGGCGGATCTCCTGCAGGTCGACGGAGCGCGCGCTCTTCTTCGGCACGCTGAATCTCTTCGCCCCTGGATTGATGGGGCCCACCTTGGGCCCTTGGAAAATTACATACAAGCAGATGCTGATCACGCACCTGGCATCTCCTCTTTTCGCCTTTCGCCCTCCATCGCCTCGTCGCCGCCAGCGCTCATTGGAACGGAAAGCTGGGCGTTGGGCGCCCTTCTCTTGCTTCCGGGCCGTCAGCAGCCACTGGCGCCCCGTGTTCTAGGCCCGAGGCCCCCCGCGCCCAAGCTGAGCAGCGCTTCTCCTCCCATCCGAAAGTTCCCCGGCGCTGCGACGCCCCCCCGCCCCCTTCCAAAGCTTCCGCCCGTCGGGCTGTCCGTCATGCTCGCCGCTCTGCGCCTGGGGTAGATGGATCGCCGCGCGCTACCCGGCCGCCTCCGAAGTCTGCATCGACGTTCTACGCAGCGCTTTTTATTGGATTATGGAAGGAGGTTTTCTTTTTGATGCGGCCAGCGTGACGCTGCAAGCTTTTCTTTCGAAAGGTACCAATGTCATGGATGAGGCCTCTGGGGGCTGCTCTCGATCTGCAGACAAAAAACCGCGCCCCCGGGCTCAGGAGCACGAGCCTTAAAACACTGGCCCCAATCGCCCCCTCAGGGAGGCGGCGGAGGAGGTGGCGCCCACATCTCCAAAGGGATTCGCGGTGGGGAACGCCCTGGAAGTAGATGGTTTTAGGAGGCTCGCCGGTGCCCATCCTAGGGCTCTCGCTAGGGACCCCCCACTGATCTCCTTCCACTTCGGCCAGACCTTTCCGAGTTTATCCCAGGAGTACGTGATGATGGTGGCGCGCAAACTAAGACTCCCTGGACCTCTAATGTAATGTCTCCATTGGGTCTACATGGTTATGGGGGGTGTCGTTGCCCATGTTGGGCAGATGTTGTCAATGCACTGGCTGCGCTCTAGTGTCTTGCAGGGGTTTGGGCTGTCTGGAAGTCCGCGCGCGTTGCAAAGGGCGCCGCCCCCTGCCTCCCCGGGGCGCCGCCCCCTGCCTCCCCGCGCTCGAGCTCGCCCCGGGGCCCCCCGGGGCTCGGCATCGACCGCGCGCGCGCGCGCCGACGACGTCGGGGCGGTCAAGTTTGAGCCTGGGCACCTGGCCGCATTGCATGATGCGATGGTTGTCACCGGAAGCTTCGCGGGGCTTAAATTCAAGTTCCCCAGGGCTAGGCGACCCCGCCCGCGGCCGCCTTCTCTCCCGAGCTCGCGCGACAGACGTCGGATCAGATCGAAAGAACGGCGCCGGCTTGGGCTGCGTTCGAGGGGGCCGTTCCGACCAGCGCAAATGGGATCCTCTACTCATCCAGGGCTCTCTCTGCGGTCTCGTGCGTCGCCCAGTTTGCCCCTCTCCCTGAACGGCACTCTGGTCTCGAGCATGGGGCGTTCGCGCGCGTCTTCCGGGCTCCCGTGGGCGTGCCTCCCCTCGCAGGCTGGGCGGAAATCAAGACTGGGGAGGCCCTCGCATCCTGTTGCTGCCCCGCACTTGCGCGGCTGCGCGTGCTCGTTCGGCTACCCTTCCTGAGCGATTGCGACAAGCGTCGCGCACGTGGAACCAGCCACAGCAGAATTGAGACTTCGACGACGCCCCTCTAGCGCCACGGCCTCGCGCTGATTTGGCCCGAGGAAGCTGGAGACCGCTGGCGCTCTCGCCCGCTGCTACCAGGCATGGCAACTGTTGTTGGTGTCGCCCCTGGCTGTGAATATGACAGCGATGTGGTTTCGGTTGTATTTCGGCCATCAGTGAGGATATGCAAATTGAGGGTCGGCGCCCTCGTCCGCGACCGGCTGTTTCTCGCGCTCTTCGTGGTCATATCGCGGGGAATTGTCATCTCAGCATGCTGTTTCAGGAGCGCCCTTCCCGTTACTTCATGTCACGGGAATCTTTTCTTGGTTGAGTTGGGCGGCTTGCGGTATGTCAACTCTTGCTGCGATCCCCCTGCAGCTGGGCTATGCCTGTCATCGAAACGCATTGCCCTGGATGGCTCACTAGCTACCGCGCGCAGTATCCAGGCGGGCGACGGCGATGCATTTTCGGGTGCGCGCACAAAGAGGACAGGCAGCTGCATTGCATGGGGTGCCGACAGTTGCGGGCGGCCACGAGCACTGGCTCTGGAGTGCCCTCTCATGCCTGGGCTGTCTGATCGCATGGGACTTCGCCAACCCCGCCTCAGGCACATCGAGACGATGATGGATAGCTTCAATGTCTAGCAACTTGCGCTCCATCATCGTCTATGCGTCACCCCTCACGACCTGCGCCCTGGAGCACGGGCAGCAGTTCGCACTTCGCGGCTCGCCTCGCCCGACGCTCGTCTAGCAAAGAAATGGCAGGCACTTACGCTCATCGTCCATCCTCGCATCCAAGAGGACACTCATGAATCGAGCTCGTCATGCCCGCCGTCGCCTTCTAGCTCGTCAGCGCAGTCGCCATCTCGCTCCACGACTGACCGTGGACGCGATAGCGAACCTGACGAGGATCTGCCCCCACTTCTCACTCCTCGGCTGGCCCCCGTGCCCAGTGATGATGCTTGCGAAGCGCCCCCTGGGAGCCGCTCCGAGTGTCTTGCGACGTTCGCCTTGCCCCACAGCCTTGCGCAGGCTTGAGACTCACCCTCGACTCCCAGCACGGCCATCGCGACTCCTCAGAGAGCGGGAAGGATCGAGGACATCTTCGACCAGGACTTCACCCCTGGCACCGCGCTGTCCCCGCCGACGCCCTGGACCTCACTTGCGACGTCAGAACGCAAGCCCCGTCGCGTCCGATGGGCTCACCGTCGCCTCTTGCTGGATGGAATGGCCCCCCTGGTGGGGTCACAGGCGTTGGATCGCAAGTCCCGTCGTCGCGATCGGGCCCGCGGTCGCCGCGTGCCGGAAGGAATGGTCGCCCCGATTTGGCCAATGGCGTTAGATCGCAAGTCCCGCCGTCGTGCCCGGGCACACCGTCGCCGCGGGATGAAGTCGAATGCGCTGCCAGTGAGCGCCTAGGCGTTAGATCGCAAGTCCCGTTGTCGCGCTTGGGCTCGACGTCGCCACGCCGGGGAAATTGATGTCCTTGTCGGGCGCCATGGCGTTAGAGCGCAGGCCTCGTTGTCGAGTTCGGACCCAGCGTCGCCGCGTGCCGTTGGGAAATCACGAAATGTCATAGCGCCCATGCTGATATCGTCTTCTCCGGTTGCCCCCTGCGGCTCGGTTGCGCTGTCCTCTGCGATGGCGCCCCGCTGCTCGGTTGCATTGCCTTCTCCCCTTCGATTGCTCAGAGCGGTTTTCTGATGACGGCTTCCTTTCCATCGATGACAGCGCGCCCAGCGAGAGCAATCTCCTCTTCTGCGGTATCGCCGCTTCCGCCGCAGTTTGACCTGAGCGGCGGCGTTCGCCAAGAATGCGCGCCACCCTCCTCCCAGGCCGCGTTCCTGCCGAGGTGATTTCCCAGTTCCCTCTTCTCCACGCTCCGCATTTGAGCCTTCCGTCATTCACTTCTCACGAGGCCCCCGCAAAGCGGTCTCATCTTCGCCACCGAGCCCCGTCGTGGCGGCCCCCACCCTGATGTCTCGAGCATACTGCGCCCTTTCTATTCTCCCCGTGTTTCTCTCCGCCACGGTGCTGATGCCCCTGCGGTGCCCCCCACCTTCTCCCCTCTCTTGGACGCTTCCCTGGCGTCTCCCTCAGACAACTTGTCCCCGTCGCTCGCCTTGTTTCATTTGCCATCCTCTTCTCGTAACCGCCAGCCTTTGCAGATGGCCTCTTGCTTGCCGCGTTCCCCAGTTCCCGGTATCTTGCTCCTGGGCGCTGCTGGCGCCGCTGCGGTGCCCCCCACTTTCTTCCCTCTCTTGTCCTACGGACTGGCTTCTGATCCGTCCCCGCTCCCCCGTTCGCGCATCTCTCCCCCTCGGCCCGCGCCTGCTCCGTCGGCCCCCCCTCTGCTTGATATGGGCCACATGTTTTTCCCAACCATCCTGTGGTGTTGGGTCCTCGTTTTGAAGAGACGGACCTAGCGTTCCTCCTCCTCTCCTCTCCTCTCCTCTCCACTCCTCCTCCTCCCCCTCTCCCCTGCGCTTCACCCACCCAGCATAGCGTTTCGTAGCCCCATAGGGAGCTCCACCGAAGGCCCCAGTGCCACCGTCCACATGCGCCCCCCCACTCTGTACAGCGCTTCGTGGCCCCATAGGGAGCTCCACCGAAGGCCCCAGTGCCACCGTCCACATGCGTCCCCCCCACTCAGTACAGCGCTTCGTGGCCCCATAGGGAGCTCCACCGAAGGCCCCAGTGCCACCGTCCACATGCGTCCCCCCCACTCAGTACAGCGCTTCGTGGCCCCATAGGGAGCTCCACCGAAGGCCCCAGTGCGTCCCCCCACTCAGTACAGCGTTCGTACAGCTGAAGGCGTCCACATGCGTCCCACTCAGTACAGCGTTTCGTGGCCCCATAGGGAGCTCCACCGAAGGCCCCAGTGCCACCGTCCACATGCGTCCCCCCCACTCAGTACAGCGCTTCGTGGCCCCATAGGGAGCTCCACCGAAGGCCCCAGTGCCACCGTCCACATGCGCCCCCCCCACTCAGTACAGCGCTTCGTGGCCCCATAGGGAGCTCCACCGAAGGCCCCAGTGCCACCGTCCACATGCGTCCCCCCCACTCAGTACAGCGCTTCGTGGCCCCATAGGGAGCTCCACCGAAGGCCCAGTGCCACCGTCCACATGCGTCCCCCCCACTCAGTACAGCGTTTCGTGGCCCCATAGGGAGCCCCACCGAAGGTCACCACCGTGCTACCGTCCACATGCGTCCCCCCCACTCAGTACAGCGCTTTGTGGCCACATAGGGAGC